GAACCAGTGGTCAGCAAGTTTCGAGTTCAGTTACTCACGACATGAGCTCTTCCTCGGCAGCGAGGAGCGCGGTTCCGCATGGTTTCGTCTGAATAAATTTGAAACCTGCGGTTACGGAGTTTTCATGCTTCGTGAACTTACACCGGCCAGCGATTCACTTGTCAAGGGCAATTCCGCACTGACTCGACGCAACGAGCGAGTTCAGCAGCAAATCACTCCGTGTTCAGAAAAGACATTAGTGAAAGTCGTCGTCGTAACGCCGCCGCGGTCGAGATTTCGCGGCGTGCTTCATAACGTCAAACGAGCTGATCATGGGAAGCGATTGCGTCGGCAGATCTTTACCGGCTTCTTCATTCTGGTTGGTTCGCTCAATCATTTTCCCACATACTCGAATCGCTTGTTTAACTCTGAAGGCTCAAAAATACTGAAAGGGTTGAACGCGGCTGGGGAACGAGCGCCCTTTGTCTTCTCCTGAACTCAGGAGAGTCTCGTGCGACCAGGATGATTCCTCCGCGGTGAGCCGTGACGTGCGGGATTCGACTTGGGGCGAGCATTGACGGCATCTTCAGTCGTCCGTGAGAATCTCGAAACATTGAACAAAAGCGCCGCTCAATTTCTCCTCTCTGAAGACGAGTGTCGTACGCGCTGATTCCGCGTAGATTCTGAAAGAATGTCATAGATTCCGAGGTTCCAGAATCTGAACACGATAAGCGTTCAGATGAAGGATTTCTTCTCTTGGACGACAACGTCTCGAACGTTTTTTGCCCCTCCGCTGACTGACGGCGTCAAGTGCTGTTTCCTGTGATTGATTTCTAGTCGGCAGAGCTTGCGTCGAGAAAAATGACGGCAGCACTCTGATCGAGAGGCCGTACAGATGAAAGACTATCTGGCGCCATTTTCTCGCCCTTGCTCGTGAAGTTCCCAATTGGAGGACTCCAGCGACGGAATATGGCTTTTTGATGTCCGGTTCATCCGTTCCATTGTTGAGTCCGCTGGCATATCTCGGTCAGGCTCAGAACTATTCCTTTGGCTTCCCGGCAGAGATGATCCTGGAAGCAATCTGAGGACAGTCTCCTCCTTCCGTTTGAATACTCAATCGTCTGCGATCCATAACTCTTTTTTTTTGGTGAGCATCGTACCACGGTCTATCGGGGAAAGTGCTCATGAGAACGGAAATTACAGTGATGCCGAGTTTTAAATATTTCTCTCTTCTCGCTTCTCCTTCGCAACCATTGCGGGGTACTTGCTTGCTCTGGCCGCTCGGAGAATTCGACTTCAGTGCCTTACCCAAGAGCAGCGTCGACGATCGAGAGAAATGTTGAAGAAATGATTATTGGCCAGTCCATAATTTTCTCCGTTGACGAATGGACCCAGCAGCGACGGATGACAGCGCAGGGGGATGGCACGAATGCATACACAGGCACCAGTGGTGGCAGCGCTTCGACGCTCACGTCGAAGAATTTTCGACAAAGTTTCAAATTGTATCCGTCGTCGACTCATCTATCCGTCCTCCTCCCCACTCTCCAACCGGACAGTCGATGTGGTTTCGAAGCAACCAATGGAATTTGATGTCATTGTATATAGAATACAAAGCCCGGGCTCTCCTCGGCGGATCATGCTGCTGAAGAATCAATTCCGATATTCGGTATACCTTCCGAGCTCAGACACACAATTGAATACAATGACCGCCTATCTCTCACGCCGCGGCAGCGGTGACGATCTTTCTTCTTTATTCTTCTATTCCGAGCGCGACACCTCTATAAAAAGCTCATTGTGAGGAATTCGGAAACTGAACCGTGTCGGACGATTGGGTCTGTTTAATGACTCTTGACACATCACATGTAATTCTTGATGACCCAGTCAATTGGCTCCTAGCCTTTTACGAACATCTCACCCGTCTGATAAGCTCACGAATTTCGTAAGGTTCCCAAGACCGCCACAAAGCCGATCTACGGAAGATATGAGTCTGAACGTCTTCACGTCTTGTCCGGCAAAAATCTCTTCAACCGACCGCTGGAGTGACCAGTTCACTGGCTGATATCGAGTCTTCTGTTTTTAACTAAAGCGTCACTCCGCTTGTCCATCGCCTGCCAGGCTTTATGTCAATGTGACGCTCAATTTCACCGCTCTTCTCACGGAAACGCGGCATCGCGCTCGCTGTTTGGGGAATATCTTATATTCACCGACTCGAGCTGCGTCGCGGGGAAGAAACAGAGTAGGTATCTACAAATGACAGGAATGGTAACCGCATGATGCGCCAACTACTCTGACTTTATCGCGTGGATTGCTACCACGTCCTTGTACCCCGGCCTCGTTCATGTTAACCAGGGGATACCACGAGAGCAGTGCCACTGCAGAGGCTGTGATTCTCCTAGAAACATCTACAGTGCAGCGTGCTTTCCGATACTCTGATCTCTGGAGCGTGAAGGATATATTTTTCTTCTGATTTCGGACGAGTGTAATCCGCACGAATTCGGTAAAAACTAAGAATCATCATACCGATGTCACATCGGACGGTCGATTATTATTCCGCTCATCCTTCCCGTTCTTGAGCACTTTTTGGAACCAGCAGCGCCAGCCTTTCCTTGTATTCGTTATCCTGACTTCTGCATGCTCCATATGATTTTTTTCCGCGACGGATGCTCCCTAGACGCGACTAATGCGACCGCTGCGCTTGTTACGGAGGGGAGAAAGTCGCCCAATATTAGGGCTGTTGGCCCAACGAGGTTCGTTGCATGCTAAACCTCGTAATCCCGTCGAGCTTTTCACCTCCGGCAAATCTCCACAAATATAAGGGATAGCTCCGTAAAGCTGTCGAACAGCCCACTTGAAAATTCCGGAATATATGTCTACAGATTAGCGGATAATTGCATGGTAACCATCATGAACTTCAGGGATACCGCTGCCGACGGCTTTGGAATACTCCAATCTGAAGTAATGACATTGTGTCCCATTCGCTGGCGAATTATAGCTTGTGATAACCTATTTCAGCTCGACGCCGATTCTGTTCCGGCGCAGTAGGAACGGAATCGCACGATATCGGAAACCGTGTTGGAACTTGCGGCAGGCTAACGGGGGCGTTCATCGTGGGCATGCCAATGCGTTTTTGTACCTCGGCCTGTCGAGTATCGCTCTTTTTCTTCCGAGACTCCGAGAATCCGGCGCCAGTTGCATACCGCGGGCCACCGTCTCCGGAGCGGCGCGACGGTTCATGGAAATGGATTTAAAATTCAGCTCCCGAGGCGCTTCAGATCAGACTCGACATGGGAGTAAAAGAGCCACGGGAGGAATCCGAGACCGCCTTATTATTTGCGATCGATGTGTTAAACTAGGTCCAACATCGAGCCCCAACCACGATGCTGAAGGGCTCTTGGATTTCAATGAAAGTCCGAAGAAGCGGAGAAAAATTTCCCAGCTGCTCCCATGTCCCATGGGCGACCCTTGTACTGGTGCTGAAATTCAACAAACGTGGCGAAAGATGTCCGTATAACTAAGCATTTGTACATCGGATCCAGTCCAAACACACCTCCCCTAGGGATCCTACGAAAAATAGCGAGCCATCCCTGTTTCGCCTCAGTCACCGGAAAACCGGAAATACTCGTCACGTTTCTCGGAGGAAGCACCGAAACGAATCTGTTTCTGAACAGCGCATTGGGTTGAATTGCCAAAATTAAATTCTTGTCCTAAAGCCTTCTTGTATCTTAATCCTTCCAGGATCGACCGATCTCCCCGGCGTCAAACGGCTTCCGCGCAGAACTCGTTCGAGCTTTAGCCTTGAAGCGAGACGGCGACGGGAGGCGAGAGCTCTATGCGTCCGTCGCTAACGCCGCTGCCACCGCCGTGGTCGAAGTCGCCGCCGCCAACGTGAGATACAATGTTTCAAAAAGGTTGCTGCTGCAGCTGCGGCATCGACGGCTCCAACGGGGCCGGCCCGCTGGCCGGCCTGCCGCCCGACTGTCGACGTCTAACCACTCTTAACCAAGCACGAGACAAGCTAGCGACTGGTCTCTGTTTTCCTGCGAGTCGGTCTGTCTGTCTGTTCCTTGCCGCCTGTTTGCCGACGTCGCCGTCGCCGTCGCCGGTCAAAAGCGACAGTCGTCGGGATACTTTTTCTTTCTGGATGATGGCGCCAAAGCTATGATGATCCGCGCGGCAGCACGACTGTCAGTTCGACTTCTTCGTGAAAAGCGCCCTCTTCCCAACTTCTGACTACTCTGAGGCAACAACGAGTTGATTGTCGTTTCGACGCGCGTCTCCACGCACGGCAAGTTCCGTGAAAAAAAAGCAGTCGCGACGAGCCGGCTACCGCGCGGCTCGACCGCTTTCGCGAGTAGACGGTGAACGGCACGTGGGGCGATGTAATAGAGAAGTTCACTCATTGTTCCTCCCAAACCAGAGAAGTTAGAGCGTACGGGAACGGATGCCCGTAAGACCACGAGCCGAATCGAGATTGTGGAAGGGAAGCGCCGATGACGATTTCATTATTGACCTGGTTCGGGTGGCTAACCAGCGTCTATTCTTCCAGATCGGATCGACTTACGATAATGACGACAACAGCAAACTTATGGATTTATCGTTCGGATGGCGATAGGGATTACGCTTTGAGAGGGATTAAAAATAAACGTCGAGATTGGTGCCGTTCTCCTTCCGCGGACTCGAGGCGACATGGGGGAAATAACATGATCCTCCGCGCTCCCGGGAGCGCGAACTCGCGCTTGTGCTATCGCGGAAAGGTCTCGCGACTTTCTGCGGATTCTTGCTTGCTCCATACTCCTTCTGCGGTCAAATGGCAGATGCTTCGTTTTCCAGGCCCGTCCTCGGGAGCGGTAGCGACCACAAGGCAACTAATTTGCGTCATTCTTTCTCTTCGAGCAGGCGCTCCGTCAGCTGCAAAACTATCTAAACGGACTATTTCCGTTTCGTGGGATGGAAACGCCGTCCCGGGAATGCTGAAGAGCGAAATTAGCCCAGGACCGATTCCCGATTACGGACCCCAAGACATGACAATCGCGAACTTGAATAAAGATTCGTCGAGCAGCAGCTGCAGCAGCAGCGACTCCGCCCCGACAACGCCGGTCTCAACGACTGCTACGTCCGCTGATGGAGAGAAAAAATATACCTGTGACTTCTGTAACTACTCCAGCACCTGGCCTAGCCACCTAAAGTAAGCAAGACGATGCTTCGGAATAGTGTTCGATGATTCCATATTTGCGGTCAATCCCGGAATATTCCCGTGTCTGGTCGTCGCTTTCTTCCGACTACCGGCAGACAAGGTCTCCGACAATCAGACTGTCCGCACCTGTTCCGGATTTCGGGAGCTCTTAGAGGAGATCCGTCACATTAGTGCGACTTGTGGTGTTCAAAAGCTGATTCGCAAGCTCGGTGCACCGTCTCTCTAATGATAATGACCTTTTTGTCTGGTAAACTGATGACCAATGAATGATGCGGGAAGTCTTCGGCATATTCGAACGGCGGAATTTTTCACATTTCAGATTGCACCGAATGCGGCATACCGGAGAAAAACCTTACGCTTGTCAAGAGTGTAGCTTTCAAACCGCTTGGGTCGGCGATTTGAAACGACACCAAAGGGTACACACAGGAGAACGACCTTACGCGTGTCAGTATTGTGACTTCTCTACAGCGCAGAAAGGTGAATTTCCCTCGTGCATATCGAGAAGTTCTGGAAGAGCGCCAGTAACGATCCTTGAAGTCCAGTGCGAAGCGCTCCTATTCGCGAGCCGATCCGCGCCTCATATCTCCCACTCGATCGGAGTCAGCTTTGAATAGAGTACACAATTCGAATGAGCCCTTTCCTCTCAACAGGTAATTTGAACACGCATATGCGGCGATATCACATGAAAAACCTTCCTCACATGTCGCCGGTGAACCCAACGCTTACAGCTGGTCTGCTGACCTCCTTGGCAACCGCTCCTGTAGAGCCTCTAGAGGCTTCATTGTTCCATCAGATGGCATTTCCTCTGGCAGCCCTCGCTCAAGCTCCTCCTCCGAGGTCGCCCCCGGGATGCGCAGGGAAACAATCTCCTAGATAATAGTTAGGTATTAGTTCGAAAGGAATTCCGTCGACAGACCCATCCCCGGATGAGAATGAAAGGACAATCGCATTCGGTTGCCCCTACTAGCTCCAGATGACGAGGAAGGAGTTTTGCTGATATGAATTATAACGCACTTTTTTTGTATTGAGCGCTCCGTAGCTCATCTATTGAGAACAACAGATTCAATAGGATCATGCGAAGCGTTTGTGTGCATGATTGAGAGTAATGAGAGACCTCGGGAATACTTTTGTAATTATCATACCAATAATCGCCTCGATCCCGATGAAATAGTGACGAGACAGGGAGTTTTTTGAAACGATCGTGCAATACTATACGAACCGAGATGAGAACACACGGCAATCCACACGAACACACTCACACGATCATCTCTGACAGACAAGGGAACGAATGTCATTGAGCTGACCTCACTCGATGCTTGGAGACTAAGAAAGAGCATTTTAGATGTCACGTGATATCGAGCAACGAATCGGATGGAATTTTTTCCAGAACGAAGGGAATAGCTGTGAGGAGAGGAGCCCCTGATTGATGGAGCCATTAACCCTCTCGCGGGTTGAGAATGTACCTTAGAAAGAGCGTAGTAATCCATGTGAATTACATACGAGTTGTTAGAGCCGAGATTGAAGACTGTTGTACAAAAGGCTGATGTCAACGAAAGCTTGACCGATGTTCATGGTATTTATTGCCTTTGTTGAAGGTGTGTTTGCTGAGTGGAATCGAAGCCTCGATACCGCGTAAGCGGGGGGCTTGAGAATGCATTTGAATGGAGACTGGTGAGATTCGGAGCTTCGAACGAAGTCATGCAGCAGATCTGATCTATGCGCGGAACATCTTGAAAGACGCTCTCGAGCACGTTCTCTGCATGTCTCCGTTCGAAGGCGGCGACATTACAACTCAGGAACAGCTGAATCTTGGGGAAGATGCGGCCGGCTTCCGGGCTCCGAGCGAGAATCAATAGTGAGAACTGTCGGTGAGAGTGAGAGGTAAAAGCGAGCTGTGACATATTATGTATTTTTCTCCGAGGACGCAAGATTTTCCTTTACTTATTATTTTCTGATTCACGGAAACATACAGCTTGAATCGAAAGCTAAGCGAGTTAGTTTCATCCGCTGGTTGTGTGAGCGCCAAAGTTTCCAATGTTTCTGAAGAGAAGGAGTTTCCAGCTGTATTGTTCGAATTCAGGTGGTTCGACTCTGAGATTTCGCGGATCATTCCGAGAATCGCCGGACAATGAATTCCGGAGGACTGGAGTTTAATTTATTTTTTGACGCACGGAACCGAGTCGGAGGGATAGCTCTTTCCGGCCTACATTGTTCGAGCTTAAATTTAATGTAAAGTTCATTAACCCGTCGCGTGGTTACGTTACCAGCGTCCTGACTCGAGCACGGACTAGGCTCCCGATCCTCATGAGTTTCGATGAGACAGCGACGCGGACGACCGCAGAAAACTTGATTGAGAATTGTTCGGGAACCGACTAGACATGCAAGCTGCGAGAGATCTTGGGGACGCCCGTGGAGGCTGGTCCTGCTTTGAGTCGTTAGTGACAGGAATGATGTGAAACGCGTCCAATCAGCTGACTCTGCCGGGGGAAAGTTGGCAGCGACAAGCAGAGCGAGTCCGATCCCGGTGAACAGGGTTTTAGCCACGAATGTTGTTCAGCAATACTTTTTTCCCACAATAAAAGTCGTATTTATATTCTGCCTCTGAGGAGGATTCACTCCGCGAAGGGACGAGAAATTCTCTAGAAAAATGAAAAAAGGGGATTTCTGTGACAAATATGCCCGCGCTGAGGACTCCGTTCCAGCTTGAGAGCAACGTCCGACGAGAGCAAGCTGAGGGAGCGGTGAAGAAGCCGAGATCCGTTGCAATAAATAAAAATTTATTTTTGCCACTCAATTTTCAAGAAGAGAATTTCTTCTCTGCAACTTATACGTCAAGTAAGAGAAGAGCTCCGAGTCCAGCGGAGCAACGACATTCATTCTTTGAGTACATGGTTGAGCTCAAACGCTGATTCATTCGAGTCGACGACTCTCGTCCGCGTCTAGCGTCTTTTGTAGTAATTGTTGTACTGATTGACCGCCTTCGCCACAGTGACCACAGAGTCGTGCAGCGAAGTCGAATTTGGCCCGCCCAGGAACAGATGTAGCACCTTGGCGTTGACCGCGACTCCTGCCAGCTCCTCGGGACTCGAGACATCGATCTTCACCGGACTCAGGGGAACTAGACGCCGACGAGGGTGAGGGAGACCATTCGCGGTTTTCCCCGTCCGGTCCGTGATCTGAGGATCCTCTCGCTCCAGATTCGGGTTGAGCTCGGTGGTTGTCTTGGTCAGACCAAAAAGCCAACTAGTCGTTGTTCCACTGATTGTAGTCGACGGTGGGAGCGGCGTCGTAGCCTTCTCTTTGACGTTCTTGGACTTGATGTCGTTTTCACCGAAAACCTTCGGGATGCGCGACCCCTTCTTTCGGAAAGGCGCATCGGAGTTCGAGAGTTGCGTCGTAGCTTCTGGAAGAGGAGATCGGAGATCCGTGAGTTCCGCGCGGGCGGTCGAAGCGCGATTGCGGAGAGTGGCCTTTCTTCGTTAGTTGATTAGATATTATTCGCTTCTACATTAGTTGCGTTCGGTGTCACGTGTTTTGTTATTAGGGAATTTTCGCTGGAAGAAACTCTCGTAGACTCACCGGCTTCAGTGGCTGAAGTGGTCGTGCTCATCGACATTTTCCGACGACGATCTGACAAGGTCGTTGTCGGCGGGTCTTTATCGGTTATTTTGGTAGCATGCGGGAAGTGGTTTGGAGTTATTTGGTCAGATGCATGAGGACTTGGGGGTTTGGCGGGGATTCGTGTGCTTCTCCTTATAAGTCCTATTCTGTGGGATTTCGTGTCCTGCGCATGTATGACCACGTTCTGCTTCGGTATTAGTGATTTTTTCTTGGAGAACACCCTTCTACGATTGATGTAGGAAAATTCCGTCCCTCCGTCGGCGTTAGCACCTTCGGCGGGTGTTGGAGTTGCGGGTGGAGGAAAAATTGTTTCTGAGAGTGGCACGTCTTTTGTTTGAGCACTGAGCGTAGTGAAGGTTGGCATCTTCTTTCTAGGGGGCTCACTAAGCGATGGCACGGATAGCGCTAGGTGCGGTTTGATTAGAGTCGTGTACGCATCTGACGGATCATCCGTCGCAGACTTTGTTTTTGTCGATATCGATACTGATATACTTGTCACTATTTCTATATTTGGCATTTCCGTCCCGCTGGGATCATTGGCAGACGTGGCCGGCTCTGTCGTAGAGACGACGTCCGGCGCTTTTGCCCGAAAACCATGTCCGCTGCCTGATCGCATGCGTCTGGGTCGCCATGCCGGCATATTTCCCCAGATCATGGGGTCGGACAGCGTTCTTCGTCTAGTGTTTCGTCTAACAGCCCTCCCGTAACTTTTCTCTTCGACTCCCTCGGACCTCATCGTGGTCCGCTCGACCTCAACAATTGTCGAATCTGTTTTCGCTTCCTCGCTCTTTTCGCCCGTATCGATTCTGACCGTAGTAGGATCTGCCGTTACTCCTACAGAAGTGAAGTCCGTCGTTGGTCCCGGCGTTGTGATCCCCGCGGTCGGCTCGGCGGTCGAAATTTCGCCCGTCAAGTCTACTTCCGAGGTTTCGGCTGGCATTCCGAAAGTGGTCGGAACCAACGGAGTTTCCGCGGTATCTGTCGTCGTAGAGACTGTCGTAGGCGACAGTGAACTTGTCTGTGGTGTGGGTGAGAGAGATGTTGTCATTTCTATGGTTGTAGCTTCCGAAGACGAATCAACGGTTGGCGAGTCCGAAAGTACTCTTGTCTGGGATTGAACTGTGGTCGGTGCTTCTGTTGTTTCCTCCATGGGGGGGAATGTGGTGGAGTCAGGGCTCGGAAAGCCCATTTCGGTTGTCGGCTCACTAATCGAGCCTTCCCTTGTGGTCCCATCATCTACCGTCGTCGTTTCTAAGATCGTGACCTCTGTATAGGGACCTGTTGTGGGCTCGAGAGTCGTAGGCTCAGGGCTTGTGGACTCGAGTGTTGTGAAATCGGTAGTGGTTTCAACAGTTGTGGGATGTGTGGTGGGCTCAGAAGTCGTGGTTTCTGTCATGAGCTCCGTGGTGGGCTCCGGGGTCGTTTGTTCCGTGGGGGCTTCTGTGATCGCTGATTCTGTTGTGGGCTCTGAGCTTGTGGGTTGAGTCGAGGACTCTGAGGTCGTGGGAATTGCTGTGATCTCAAAGGTGGTAGACTCTGTATCGGTCATTGTTTCAGTTTCACTTGTCGTACTTTCTCTTGTTGTCGATTCCATAGCCACAGTAGTCGATTCTGTCGTTGTCTCAGACATGGTCTCTACTGTCGCGGGGGCGGGGGGCTGCGTTGTGGGGACAGGTGTTGTTTTCCGCCTCCTATCACCCCTGAATGTTCTCATCTCTCTTGTCGTTGAGCTTGTCGCTTTTTTTTCTGTTGTCGTGGGTGTGACTTGTGCCGTCGTGAGTGTGTCTTGTGTTGTAGTGGTGTCAGTGGGCTCAGCCGTCATACCTTCAGTTGTTGTAGGTAATGTTGTTGTTGTAGGTTCGTCCATTGCCGTGACGGCGAGCGTTGTCGACGGCGCTTCTGTAGTTGTCGCCTCTTCCGTCGTCGTTGTTTCGACAGTCGTGGTCTCTGGTGTTGTCGATGCTTCGACGGTTGTAGTCGCGGGAGTGGTTGTCATCTCCTCGGTCGTTGTTGGCGCCATGGGGGTAGATTCGTCTCCGTCCGGAGTCGTCGGTTCTCTGAATCTCGTTGTCGTCTCGCTCGGATCCGTGGTTGCCGTAGTGGATTCCGTGGTCGTTGTCTCATCTGCCGCCGTCGTGGACTCGGTGGTTGTCTCTTCGGTCGTCGTCTCTTCGGTTGTCGGTTCTTCGGTGGTCGTTTCTTCATCGTTATCCTCGGTCGTGCTCTCGGCGAACTCATCCGACTCCTCTTCAGTGGTTGTCGTGGCTTCTGTCGTCGTCGTGGTGGTTGTAGGCGGCGCTTCGGTCCAAATGCGCGGATGCACTTTCAATTTGAAAGTCGGAGAATAACGCGGAGTATCTGGGGGCCACCTGCGTTTGTGCGCGGCGAAATGGATGGGGGAGTCTTGCCAGTTTATATGGGGATCCTCAGCGGTGCCGTTATTATGGGCATCCCCCTCAGCATCGGATCCCCTATGCGCGTTTTTTGAATCGTGGTCGTCATCGTCTTCGTACTCCACGTGCTCTTCGACAACGTCGTCCCCCCAGGTTGGACGTGGGGGCGCCCACGGCGACGCCGGTATCGAATGGTAGGCCTCGCTGGCCCAGCCTTTACGTTTCCTGGTACGTCGCGGCCTCAATCGTATTTGATGACTGGAGCTCGCCGCCGCTTCGGGTTCTCCGCTCCGCTTCGTGACTAGGTCCTTTTTCTTCTTGCTCGCAGAGCTCCTGCGAGGGGAGCTAGTGGTCGAAGTGGGTTTCTTCTTAGAGTTCTTTTTTGTGCTTTGATTGGACCGACTCTTCGAGGAACTCGAGGAAGCCGCTTTGGGTTTCCCGGGGCCCTTTCTCCTCTCCACGTTCTTCTTATTCGAGGACTTCGAGGTGAGGCTAGCGCTCTTCGACAGATTGCTCTTCTCGTTCTCCTCTTTGCATTCTTCGCTGTCCTTGTTGCTTTCCTCGGTGCAGTTCTTCTTCTTTTCAGGCCATTGCTCTTCAGGCCACCAGGGGAGGTGGGGCAGATCTTTGGGTTTTTCCCACGGGAAATGCTCTTCCGGTTCTGGCGGCGGGGGTCTCTGGAGTGGATCTTTGGTGCCCGATATGATTTTCACGTTTGGGCTCAGATGGAATCTGAACTTTACCGGAGGAATGCGGAGCTTTACATCGTTAATCTTGTACTGAGCTTCTTCTTTCCAGCCGTGGTCGTCGTGATGTTTATCGTCCCAGGGATGATCTTCGTTTTTCTCGCTCCAGTGGGGGTCAGGAGGGGGACGATGACTTTTGAGTTTTATGTGACCCTAAACAGGAAAAGCAAACGTTAAGTGTTCAGTGCACGCAACGAGGGGCAAGACTGTTTTATTTTGGTTCGATGACAAATGGAAGCTGGAATCCTGACCAACACTTACATCATGCGCCGGGTTGAGCAACGGAGGCTTGTATTCTTCGACATGTGGCTCCTCATCTTCTTCTTCGATCACCTCTTCCTCAACCACGTGTCCGTGATGATGGCCGTGATGATGATGATGGTCGTCGTCATGGGGTTCCCACCCTCCTCGATGAGTCTTTTTCTTCGATGCATGTTCTTCTCCGGGTGGAGTAAATGGACCACTGCTGCTCCCACGGCCGCCGCCAGTGCGGCCGCTCCGACTAACTCGCTGCGATGTCGCTGGTTTCGGTGGTCGAGCGTGGCTCTGGGCCGAGGACTCCGGTGGTTCGAAAGGAGAGGCTTGAGAACCGACGGGCTCATCGAACGCGCGACGCACGCGTCTCGATGACAACTGTCGGGTTATGGGGTGTCTGGAATGCCCGAAAGCTCAAATTAGAAAGGGGAGTTGCCCCCAAGAAGAATCGAGCTCGTTCTATCGAATGTTATCGATGATAACCATTGAAATCGATCGAGAAATCTAACGGGAAATAGTTGAACTAACCTTTGTGCTAGAACTTGATCGCACTTCAAGTGGGATCCCGATTCTTTGTCGTTGCAGGAATGCAGCGCCGGACCAGCGGCGCAAAGCACGCCTAGCGTGATTACTGGAAGGTACTGAAAAGTTCGAGGAGATCTATTAATACCGCGCGAAATTCATTTCGACAGAGCATGGTCTAAGAATCTCCCGTCTCGGAATTCTCAGATGAAAAGCAAGCATCCAACTTTGATCGCGGAATGAGAAAAAAGCCGATGGGAATCGCGACTGGTTTCGGTCCGAGCTTCGCGGTCATTTCCATTGGTCGGAGTGAAAAAAATCTTTGTATGCGACCGACAGAGACGATCGGGGACCGATCGTGGGCTCGAACTTCATTAAAAGTAACAAAAAAGGAAATCTCAGGCCTAGATGAGAGATCCGTTGAGGAATCATCAAATTTCCTGCTTTTTCCTCAAATGATTGGAGACGGACCGCGTAGAAAAGACCCGGAAACTCCGGATGCTCACGAGTTCCCGGTCCTTGTGCTTTCCTGCTATCGACACAACGGCGGAATCTCCACCGACTATTCCTATCCTAAGGTGACCGCGATCGCTTCATGGTCGTATTTTCGATCTTCTGACCTCCGATAACTCTGAGAGTGACCCGCGAAACTCCATAGCGCTTGAATTCAGGACTCTCGATTTTCTTCTCTCGGTCTGATGCGCGGGAGTATCAATGTGAGGCGCATTTTCCGGCCGAAGTTTCCAGAACGAGTGAATGGAGAGTGTTCATTTGCGGGAAATTCTGCCCTGGACGTTCCGTGCATGAGGCTGTTCCATGAGAAATTCTGTTCCCAGCTCCTGGTAACCGCCGACGGAGGTCTGATCGTGAGAGCATCGATAGTTTATATCGCATGTTCCTGGTTTTCGTCCTTGGACCGCAGGCGCTAAATGTCGATCGGAACGATCGCAATGGTCCCGAATTCGCGCTCGAACGAGACATGTCTTATTCGGGTCTTGATCGGGTTTGAAAGCAAATGGGAACGCATTCCAGGGGAACTTTGGGACACAATAGTTCCGAGCATCGCCAGGCAACCGCATGTTCTCTGACGGAAGACTTCGTTCGTTGAACGTTCAAGACGTTCGATTGAAGCATCGCAGTCGACGTCGTCGCTGTCATCGTCGGCGGAGCCGAGTCGAACGCTGTTGCCACGCTGGTGGCATCGTCTCCTGCATCGCCGATGCCGCCGCTTGCCGCTGCCGGCTAGGCAGACCTCTTTCGACTTGCGCAAGAGAACAACATCGGTAAATTTTCGTTTCGCTGAATCCGCAACACGCAGCGTTTCGAATGAGGAGCCACTAAGGCCAGAGGTGTTCTACAGTCATGAGCGAATGGAGTGACCCTAGGTGTGGGAATTTCTCATTCCAGCCCGATCGCTTCGGAAGCAGTTTAGTGCGAGCGAATATATGTATCTACCGCCCGAGCCCCCGGCCTGTCTCCCGTAACGCATGTACGAGATTTCCTACCAGGGGGTCTGTCAGGTGGACATTTCATGAATTTCCAAGGGATTCTAAGCTTTCCTCTGACGGTCGAACGCTTCACTTTGCTTCAACCATAAGGAGCACCAGACGTCTTCGCTGGGGAGCCGTTATCGGACGTCGGGGATGAAAACAAATCCACGGTCGGCTGACAGCGCTAATAACGGCACTTTCACCGCTCGGATATCGACGCTACGCGAGCTGAGCTCCCGAGAAACTGAAAACCTCCCATTCCTCAGGAATACACACGTTAAATTCTAATTTCGTAACCGAAATGTTTTTCGCTCCCGATTTGAGGGAAAATCGAGGAAAGATGAACGGGTGGTTCTCTTGAGAAGTCGGTCCGCAAACTATCATGTACACATATCAGATCCTCAGTTCGAATCCACGGGAAGGTCCGATGAGACTGGATTCGAGAAGTCTGCGATCGATCACGACGGTACAAACGCCCCTTGTTCGGTTCATCGTCATCGAGCTAACAGAAAGATAGCCGAGCATTGGCACCGCGGAACACGATATAGCACTTGAGCGGCCGGCGAACTTCCGGTGCCGCGATCACGTGTTACGAGGAATTACAGCCGTGCAGCTGCTATCGGTTGATGCCGTTATGCAATCTTGTTACATGCTCGCCTGCCGTGAGCAAGTTCACTGAATCATCATTTTGGTTGCCCTCGCAGACGTAGCTCTCATTGGATGTCAATTCATTTGACCAATGAGTTTCTTGCAGATCGGATGGCTCCATCACCGATAAATCGTGATAGGAATCGGCGGGCGCAAGACTTTAGAGATATCACGTCAACTACCATGGACATGATCGAATCGTTTATCATGTCCCATGTGAGCTGTAATCAACTCACTGGAACGCATCGACGCTATGGAGCTTTTTGATTGCCTTGGGCAGGTTACGATTGTGAATGGCGTGACGATTTGTCTAGTCTATGCATCAACCCCCGGAGCATTCCGGCATAGCTCCCCTATCATTCGATTGTGAGGCCGTGGAAGATTCTGAAGAATTTCGAGGAGAACTTCATTCTGCTTCCGAGCCGGGATCCCGGCATCTTCATCCATTCCCTATTCTATTCCATTCTATTCATGGTTTACCGTATTTCGCTCCCGTTCCCCGATCGCAGATGCGGAAGATGAGGATAGTTTTTATTTTTGATCGAGAAAGGTGTCCGATACTGCGACTTGTTCGTCGGCCGTCACTCATTCGATTGGATCGAGCGTGCAAGCCGTCAAATCGTTCGGAATTCACTCGGCGTGGCGTTGTTCCGACGATTCGTCTCGGTCCTGACATGAAGGGAATCAAAATAGCTGCGAAGTCTCGATGACTTACTCTGACCGCACGGGAAAATCATGCTTGACTGGTTTCAAAACTTTTCTCTCCTTTCGATGCTCTGCCGACTGTTCCCCCCTTTAAATGACCGTATCACAATGTGGCCGATCGCGAAGCGAAACAGTCTACAGGTACGCGGCATGGGCACAGCAGCCTCAAGCTATTGATTGTTGATCATCATAAACTAATGAATACGGATCCTGAAATGCTCCGCGGTACTTTTCCCCTGGATGAAAATATCGGATCTCACCTTCATCGTACAGCGGTGAAAACCCATGGACGAGCAACACAAACTGATTCAACAAACATAGCTACACTGTATTGCATCGAAACGTTGATGGCATTTCTTTTGGCCGACCGGATTGCCACTGACGGCAGCGGGGCCAAAGTCGGAACGGGGCAACCCGACGCGCGAACCGGCGGAGGAGGGGGAATGGGTGAGAAGGCAGCAGTCGGTTCTCAGACCAAACAAATAATGCTATCGAATGCTCGCCGGACCGACGAAGGAAAAACAAAAATAAATGACGATTTTCAAAGCTTGATCTCAAGACGGAGAAGGAGTCAAAACGCTCCATCTCGCTGCGCCACCTGACCCCCTGGGAAAGAACGCAGTTTAGAAATCCTGCCGGCTCGCTTAGTTTCTCTCGATTGAATTCTCCCCTGACGGTAATCTTCGGTCGTAGGGAATTCCGGAGCATTTCGACATCCCTCGTCCACAGTATGTTTACTTTCCCGTATAGATTGTCTAGGTACTTCGGTTAACTACCAGGGATAGATATCGTACGCCATTCCGTTTTTGGAATCCCCAAATCCAGTCCCTGTAGGAAAAAAACAGCAATCTCCGTCTGTCTGGGCGATTTGCTCCTAGAAGGCCAGCGACGAAAGATGATTGATCGAGAAAATTCAAATGAGAGGAAACTGCTTCGCCGCAATGTCGGAAGTCACCCGAGACAAATCATTTTCGTTTCCTCAACCAGGACTGACAGGTTTCCAAACACGTATTGGAAACTGACGGTTCAATTAACTCTCCTCGACGACATCCACATTAGCGGTCGATGATCGAATTTAACGACTGGGAATGCGGATAGCTAGAGTTTGAACTCACCAGAGCGCGATGAGGAGCGAGGACCCATGAATCTGTTTCTCACATAAGGGTGGTGGGGATGGAGACAAAGATAGCAATGGAGCCGATTCCCGCGAGGAAGGACTTCCGAAGCTGGCCTTTAGGCTCTATGGGCAGGTGAATCTAGATTTGCTTTTGTTGCAATCGCTTCTCAGGAGTCATTGGATAAGGATCGAGCTCTACGGTGTGCCGGCGCGTCAAATGATGTGCATCGATTGTTCATATTCAAATGGGAATGTTTCTCCGATCACAATTGAATAATTTTGATTGAGGAGAATGAACTTTTCGCTCTCTGGGATGACGAAAAATAGACCCCCCGATGGCTTCCCCAAATGTGGCAGGGTCGAGCTCCCAGGAACTGGTCTCGATCGGCGGATACTTTAGCAGATCATTGTGTAATGTTCTCCCAGCTTTCCGTGACAACGTTTTGAGACCCGGAGGTCGCCGTATCTTTCTCCGTTGGAGACTGAAGCACTATACGCGACCAGGAGGAGAGAGATGAAGACGGATCTCCGGAGATCCGGTTTGCACATGGCTAGAGGCAAGCGAACAATTGGATCCTCATCTGTGCGCTTAGGCCCGTCGAATACGAAAATGGAGGAAAGTAATGGAGATTCCAAAAAGCCCGGAGATGTCGAGCCCCTCAGGAACAATCCAGTTATCAAGGAAATGCCGAAGGTCACTTCAGACACTACGACGCCGGAACGATGAGCCAGAAGGGATGCGACTGAAATTAATACGATGCCGGATATCCGAGCTGATGCATCGGAGAATCCCGAAGTTTTCCTCCCCCAGTTCAAGATTAGTCAATAGAGACTTGAACTCGAAATCGATCGGTAGTTTAGCGGTCATAGAGGAACCTTGGATGTTTACAACAGAAACTCCTTTACGTCGGGTAGATATAAGTATTTGGAAAAGAGACACGGACATGCGCTTTGTTGTCGGAAGGTCGGCGAGTCTCGGAGAGTGTCCGCGGGATCGCTCTAGAAACCTAACCCGACGCGGAATTACGGCGAACGCCGGCCACATGTTCCAAGCGCTCATCATGGATGCGTAGATGAACATCCTCAAGGTTGAGATAACGGGAGAAGCGTCTATGTGATTTCCTTGAGTTGTTTCGTTTCGCCCAGTCAAATACTCTACCCATCGAGACGAATGACGTATAGGTATGTATAGAGAATTGTAGGATATTTAAGACGCGATGAGAGGGCCCCGAGAAGGTCCCATCACCCGCGAAAGAAGATTTGAAAGAATTCCTCTATACACGACGGCAGACACTTCCAGGTATCCGACTTATCGGAGAAGATCTGATCCAACTACCAAGTTGACTTTCAGTGAGAGCGACGTTTCCTTATGCTCTCCTAACGAGCCCTCGAGTCGGACGTCCGCCGGAGACGCCTCTCGACGTTCGCCGGCGGGCATGAATGAGAAGCTATCGCATGCTCATACAAATATCGTCTAGACCAGAGACCTTCTGACCGAGATAATCATACATCTTCGGTAAAACTGCTTTTGTAGTGTTGGGAATGTCGGTATTGTTGGGAATAAGATAGGCATGATCCATGAGGAAATGAATTCAGCTAGAAGAAGTACCGCTCGTACTTCCTTGTTTTCGGACGTGCTTTTGATCAAACGTCAGATACAGGGGTGCTTTTCAACGACACATTGTCGATGCTTCATTGTCAATCCAGCCCGACCGGTGAAAATGCATATGCGTACAGCCGAATTGAATCGAACTGCGCGGCGAGCATAGACGAGGCATACGAGATCTCCGAGAGCCCAGAAGCCCTCAGAGGAAGTGTATTTGGCACTGAAGTCCCTCTCCGAGACCATCACCACCCCAGGCTGCGGAGCATTGAGCGACGATACCGGTGCAATACTCGGACAAGACAACACGTCCGTATCTTACGTCTCTAGGCTTCCCTTCAAGGTACTATCCAAAATCCAGTGCTCTCTTCTACATTCTCCTTCCGCCTTCTCCTACATTCCCTCTTTCCGCGTTCGCGATTCTTCCTCCAGAATTATTTGGCAGAGAATCATAGGGCCGCCATCTCACAAGGAGCTCTATAAAAAAAATCCGATGATATGCATATATGAATCCGAATAATGCATGAGTGGGCGGATTCTGCGCGGGATTTCGATCCGTAGGCTCCAACCTAGATCGACTCTCCTGGGGTATCGTTGATACCTTAGCGTAGTCAGCCGCCCCCGTGGGCTCTTCCGAGGCTTCTTGGTGGGGATGCGGGAGACCCTCGGTGGTTCAACCCTTTCGCTCCGTGCTAGAGCATCCTCTGACCCCGAATCGACTTCGAATCCTTGAGCCAAGAAGCTCGAGGCTGGACTTACAACCTCCGACCGGAATACGCCCGAGGCTAAATTACGAAACAGGGTCGGCAGTCTTTCGGGTTCTCAGTCGTCAGCCCTTATTTCGGGAGTCGAGAAAGGTATGGACAGGGTGAAGCATACCCAGGACAAATCTTTGAGAGAATAGTATATCATGACTGCATTCGACAATACGTACGTACCTTGATCGACAAAACCCTAGATATCGACTCAAATGTCGGCGTCCAGGTTTTTCAACTCCACGATCAGTGTGAGGGTTCCACGAAAGAGCTGAATGGGCAAGGGGACGAGACAGGCACCGGAAATTATTCCTAGGCATACTTTAAAATCTGCGATTTATTACTTTCAACCAGTTTGGTGGAGGGGCGGGGTTGTGACGCTAAAAATCCGCCGAAAAACAAGCGGGGAAACTTTTAAAAGCTATGATTGCGAAATTGCATTTGTTCCTTTGGGTCCAGAGAGAACATCCCCGCGAGCATCTATATACGAAGTCACGATCCCGGACCTCCAGGGGTTCAATATTTACAATCTTCGCGGAGACTCGGGCGAGACATTTCTCCGAATACGGTACTTTCATCCTAAAATAGCTCGGGCCTCCGTCTTTTCCATAGAATCAGCTCTTAGTGGGCTTGTTAGGTGATGAGGTTCTCCCCGGGTGTTCAGTGCTCGTTGGACATTTATAAATGTGAGTCTATACACCGCCTTACGCGTAATCTCAATGAGGATCGAACTTCATGGTTAAAAATATTACAGCGTTTAACAGCTAAGAGACTGTCACGACGCTCGACGGAGTGATAGGATTCAGGAGAGCTCCGAATGCGCGCTGTCTCCGAAGATCCGCTTTGCACAGGACTGGAAAAAGAGCATGTGGGTTTAAGCATCTCTTTATGTTCCCGGAGTTTCTCCCGGATAATCCTGGACCAATAGCGGGAGATGAAAATCATTCCATCCGGCCCTGGCCGTGTTCTCACCTGTGAGTATTGTTCCAATTATCATGAAACTTCCCAGGGTCAAATTCGAAACGACGTCACCGAAGCGAGTGTCCAACATGGACGCGACTGACATGAACAGAATGCCGAATACTTGAGCGGATGCATTCAGCAGTCCTGAGGTCGTGCCCTCTGGCTCAGGGTAAGTCAATTCAGAAGCGAACTCGAAACCGATCGGTAGATAGCCGGTCATGAAGAAACCTGGAGCGTTGAAAGTCAGTTTCGAAGGAAGAATACACTTTCATGGCGCACGGTGCGCACACATCGGATGACGGCATTCATCCGCCCTTGAACTTGAAAATCCATGTGTCCGAAGACAAGACCCGGGTTTTTGAGAGCAGTTGCTAGAACGTACCCAACGCAGAAATCACGGCGAACGTCGGCCAGATGCTACCAGCGCTCAGAACGAATGTGTAGGCAAACATGCCTAAGGTGGACAGCAGGTAAACCATCAAAGTTATTTCCTTGAATTTTTTCGTTTTGTCAAGTAGGACACCGCAGACGACGGAGCCTATCATGCCAGTGATTACCAGAGCGAATCCCATGAAACCAATGGTCGAGTTCTGTCCCTGGAAAGGACCGAATCAACTGTGAGAGCTCTGGGAGATGGATAATAGACCCTTAGGCTTAGGGATGAGAGGAATCTCATAGTCAGAGGGGGAAAAAATCGTCAGAAGCGGAGTTCTCCGCTACCTTGAAATATCTCGAGAGGATTTGATCCAGCAGGATGGAGATGGCGTAAAAAGTTCCGGTATTGATTCCGTAAGCGATCAGATGGAGAATGTAAGACCGGTTCTTGACCAAATTCTTCATTGTTTGACCATAATCAGGCTCCTTCTCTTCCAGCTGACCCAAGTTCGGAGGGCATGGTGGTTTTTCGCGGAAACCTGCAAGCGGAGGGATCTTGGGAGACTGTGCTCATAATTCGAGGTCCGCGGTCTCCATCATGCGAGGGATGACGTTGAAATCGCTAGCTATATTATGTGTTACGGAATAACCGTCTCAATATCCTTGCGGATATTGAAGCGCGGGGTGTTCGCGACGAATGACCCGGGAGATCGCGCAACGTCAGCTCGCGGCCCAGTAGAGGGTCAGGAGTCGTTGGAATATCCATACAGACTGAATGTCTTATTTTGGGTTCCCGATAAGTCAGAGAAAATCAATTTGTCGCGATCGTGAGGGCTTTTCTAGACTCAGAACGAGATGCTCCAACTGGCGACGATTGGACGCGGGGGCTAAGTCTGCGCCTAAGTTTACCTTCGCGGGGGCTCACCTATCAGAACAGCCACGAAAACGATTGTAGAGACGGCAGCGACTCCGTAGGATAAGGTTTTCAAGCCCTGTTCCACTAAATGGAGGTCTGCGACGTTCGGGACTAACAACGTTGGAATCTGGAAGCCCAGAGCAATCCCCACCTGTTCGGAGAAGCCAGGAATTAATTCTCGTCCTTTCGGATCTTTCGATCGGTTTGGACCATATCATGAGGGAAGAGTCGAGAGTCGACGCGACCTTTTTCAGAGTCAAATAGATGTTCGTACCTGGTTGCCGAAAACTCCCACAGCACAGGCGCGTGAGATCTCATCCGGGCTGAACCAAACTGCTGCGAGCCGTGGTGGGATCGATAGCACGAAAATCTGGGAACTCGCTACCACGGTTTGGCCCACCATGAGGAGCCAGAATCTGTCCGGAGCGACGCCGAACACCTACGGCATGCAAGAAGACAAGGGTAAGAGATTTGCGCGTCTTCAAAGCGAATCGCCGGAATCGATCGAGCATTCAAGACTCAGGCTCGCAGAAACGAATTACGAACATCGTGAAGAACAGACCGCCTCGGTTCTGCTCGATTTGGGCGTATTCGCGACCAGGAGCTCGCTCAGGTTCCGTGAAGGCTCGTTAAGAGATCAAAGGTGTTTCTATGGAGATCCTCTTGACCGTGGACGGGGAGCTGTGGTTTCGATGTCTGCCTAATTCGATCGAGGGGATCGTATCGAGAAGTCCTCATATGTACCTTGATCCAGGCTCCGAGGGTGGTTCCGAAGGCTCCGATGAGGATCACGAAGCGCAAACCTTTCTTACCCATCAACCAGCTCGCAGGGAATATCAGAGGGATGTATGTTGCGCAGTATACAGTCGCTGTCCAGTTGACCGCCGTCTCATTGACATTATAGTACTTCATCACAATCGACTGGATTATCGAGAGCTCGACCCATTGAAAGGCATTCGACATTGAGAAGCAACAGAATAGGAACAAGACAACGAAACGATAACGATAAACTTCTATGCCGGACGACGTCGCTTCATCGTCTTCCCGTCTCTCGATCTTCGATGGAGGCTCCATGGCCTGGAAGTGGAAAAGACGAAATTCGGTTTTCTAGGTGATCGACGGGGCGAATGGAAATCGAAGATCCCAATCGGGAGGATCTCGAAGGAAGAATTCGATTCGGCAATCCAGCGAATCCAGTAGAAACTCCGCATCGGTATCACAGGGAGGAACGTTTCGGGAGCAGCCTGTCGATTCTCCCATACTTCAGTACTCTGAACTTACACGGTATTTGCATTTGCAGCTCATGCTTGAAAAAAATCTCACTGGACCGCTCTATTGAAAAAGATTCGAACACGCAGGATTTTCCTCGCATTTTACTAGCATCGAACAGCTGATCCCAATCATCCGGAGACGTCTGCCAAGCCGTTTTCGAAATGGAATGTGCGATGTGGCGATGGGAACTCCATCCTCGAATACGGTCGTTATGGGACTCCTTATCGTCTTCGAAAAACGGCTTGATAGCAACGCCAATAGACCGCGGTTTTGTCAACGGACAGTAGTTGTAAAACAGCTTGAAATATCCAACGTTCTATTCCAGTCTCAGCTGATCCCCGGATGCATTTTCTTGGACTAACATTACTACCACTCTTCCGCATTCGAGCGTAAGTGAGCTGGTCAATGAGGTCTTCCGCGGTCTTTTCGCTCTCGAAGGCAAGCTTTGTTTCCGATTCGTTTCTACGATCATGTGGGCGTTCAGGTCGTTTCGCCTTGCGCCGTAAGAATTAAGGTCTTCAAAATTCCCTCCTTATCGAGCTGATCGAGAGAACGTCGATCGCAGTGTTGGCCATTCATTGGAGCGGGTCAATCGCCGATTGAGCCTCTTCAGCTTCGCATGCAAAAGTGCGATATGTACGCTCGACGCCGGAATCATATTCATCTACGTCGAATTCCGCGATTCGTTCGAGCGTCGACCCCGAGAGCTATCTTCGCTACCTCACACAAAACGTTTTCTCCTTTAGGCGAGTTCACGTGATCGCGCATAGTCCCAGATCTTTCCAGTCGGTCGAGCGGAAAAACATCGTGAAGCGATGGTAAACAGTATGGCTGTAGGCTTCTGTATAGCGGGCCCAGGCGTCCCTCAGCTCGGAAACATTGAGGCACTCAAGGACGTTTCGCTAGAAACAAACGTGGAGACTGCTTGGCTCCCGAGCTATCTGTGAGCACGAGTCGAACGCTCAATTTTTTTTATCAAACACATGGATCATCGGAGCTCGACGAGAAGCGCATTGCCATAATTATCTGTACCAAGTATCACTCAATCAGACCATAACGCTGTTGCCGTGTGCCGATTGCTGCTGACAGCTGGCGTCCCTCAGTCACTTTGAAAAAAAGAGGAGGAATGCTCACGCGATTTGAATAGCTGCCGACGTCTTCGCGAAACCCCGAGCAGATTGGCAAAGCCATGTCTCCTATGAACTATGAATTATGAAAATCCGCATCCTGAAGCAGGATTCTCACCTTGACTTCGGCTGACTCGATTTCACTCTCTGGCACGTGGATGTATTCTTCCCTCACTGACTGTGGGAATCAGAGTATCGTCGAACACTGTCACAGGGAAAAAACCGGCGACCAGCCGATGCTGCCGCGAAGAGGGTATAGCGCTACGCGCGTGAATAATTACAGAGTTCCGCTTCCCAGTATTTCCCGGAGGAAGACAGAGAGTTGCGCGAGCAAAGAGCTCTCGAACGCGCGATCGAGAGAGCGCGCGCGAGAACCTTTGACAGCGGCTCGCCGGACCGCCGAGCCTGCAAAGTTGTCCAACAGCTTTTGCGGCTCAAGTGCGTAAGGTCTGTCGTGACCTCTCCCAGCCACGTTACCTAAGGGCCGCCTCATCCGCGGGAAAGCAGAGGAGGCTGCTCCTGTACTCGTCTCCATCGGACCAGATGGGGCTTCACCAGCTCTGTCTCGTCCATGGAGTGTCTTCGTATGTCTTCGTTGTGATAGGACACCCCCCGCCAGTCTATGGGGCGCTATATGACTGGTCATAGATGGGACACATTCCTGATCGAAGAGAAGGTACCTGTCCCATGACAGGTACTTTCAATTCATTTGCAGCAATGAATTTCCTCCGAAAAATCAATGAGCGAGGTTTCGAAGCTGAGCCCTCGAGCTCCATCAGAAAAAAAAACCTCAGTATCCTACTCGGGAATGTCTTTTCAGTGTTCCCGAGGCCTCGGTGCCGAATCCGCGAAGGGTACGGATCATGCTGGGCTGGCGGGAGCTCATCGGACTTTCGAGAGCTCATGGCTCCTCTCCCTGATTCTTCGAGAATTCGGAATGACAGAAAGAGTTGTGGGGGAATTAACGCTACGGGATGCTCGAGCGACTATTGCTGAATGGGTGCAGATTCAGCACCGAGAGCCCTGTCTGTAGGCTCTGTTAGGCGACCAATCGTGATATCCGACGTACCTTAATGACTTTTCCAAATTCTCCGATCGAACTTTTCACTTCATGCACTCAAGCCGCCAGAATATAATTTACGTGGTCCCGGAGTCGGCTCTAAATCCAGGGTAGGTTTTCGAAACGTTTGTTGGAGGGATTAGCCGCTCTTGGGACATCGAGCGTAGGAAGTAGTTTGTGATGATACCCGATTGGTGGCGAGAGAGTCACTTGATTGAGTCAATCTCGCTATCGCTCCAGCTTGAACGTTCGATCGTAGTCTGGAAGCGCTCATACATCGAAGTCCTTATGGACTCCCGAGGTCTCTACCGTCTCGAAAAAAGAACCATCCAATACTCGAGAGCGTCAAGCTCGAGCATTCGAGATTCTCGCGAAAAAGGCGAATACCATCGGAGCGGTAATGCGACGGTAGGCGTGTAAGCACCTGTGCTCGTTCTGCTACAAACGGGGATAACCGAGATATAGACTGCCCACCGGAATCCGCATGCGATACACCGTGGAAGCGTCGCGAATTTTAATCGTCAATTGCGTGTCTAACAATAGTTTCATGCAGATCTTGAGACTAGAGAAGCGACCAATTTTCTCCCGACAACGCTGAAAGAGCAGATTTGGTCCTTGTTTGATCGAACCTTTTTACTCCATGCCGACAAGCTGTGCAAACGGTCATGGCGTTGAGTGGTCGAATGATCGAAACTGTCCATGAGGGTAACATTGTGCATGAGGTGTATCGCATTCTTGGAACTGATTGAAGTGACTGGCTATGTCGAGACTCGTCCGTTAATGCAATCCCTTGTCCTCTTGGGGAGGAGTAGAGTATCTGCATTTTACAACTCCTCTCCGGGAAACGTCGAGCCGGCTGTGATGTAATTCTCATGTTGGTGACGAAGAGGAAATCGGGAGTACCCAGGCTCCAAATCATCATATCGAAATCAAGCTCTCGCTGAGGGCGCTCCGCGAGAATCTTCACTCGGGAGGAGTTTCCGCTCTCCGCCGGATTGCACCGGACTTGCGACGAGATAGGCCCAGTGCCCCGTAATAGGCGATGCGGCAAAATATACAATCGCGGGACTCGACGAGCTTGGAGTTTGCCTTGTCATTTAAATTTGCTCTTGCTTGTGCTCTCCTCGCTCGGCGGTGATGGACTCCGATAATTCCTCCGGGACCCGGGTCGCGGCTCGACTCTGCTCTCGACGAGGACCTAAGTCTTCGAAAATCTGAAGATATAGATACGGCCTGGGACCCGATAGTCGAATTAGGTGGGATGTGTTCACAATTGTATCATCGGCAGCTCAAGATCCCTCCTCATCACCCGCACGACAAATTGCTTCATCATCGATGGTCCTCATCGAGTACCGGATCGGAGCCCTCATCTATGTTCCCATGCACTGGCACATCGATTTAAACTGTATGCATCGGGTAAATATCGGTTCGGATCGAGGTAAAGTTGGAAATTCCATCAAACTCGTTTATTTACGCTCGAACTCCGAGAATATATCAGTGAGTGAACAACAATTCGAAATATCTAGCAAGAAAAGATCATTCCATTCGTATTTCGTCTAGCCAAGATGATTGAAGTTCAAGCCGCCCTAACGAGCTGCATTCCTACGGAAGAATCGTATTTCGACACCGGCAAACATGAGTCGGTGCCCTAGCAGACAGAGATTACTCGCTTCTCAGAGTCCTTTGGAGCTAATTTAATGGATTCCTGGAGAACTTGGAAGAGCTCGAATAGGACTATTGACCGTTGATTCGATCTATTCTCCGCAGTTGTGCTCCGCATAAAAAATGACTCCCAGTGAAAGAAACATCAGCATTTCGACATTGATTGGCACCGGAGAAGATGAATATATATAAATATAATATATATTTCTATTAAATATATGTATATTGATGTAAAAGCGAATCTACAATAATCATGGCAACAGAGGATCTGATAGAATTTCCCATGCCTCGATCCAGAGTTTGAGGGGAGTCCCCGTAGGAGCCCGCCACGCGCGAATTCTGACGGGACCTTGAAAGACTGAATAGTTTTGTCAATGTTCTGGCTCCGCAGCAGAGGACTGCGCCCGAGTATCACACACGGTGAGGATCCACTCCACAAAAAAATCGCTCGCGAGGCTAACCGGATTGAGCGCATCAATTCTATCCCATGTCACATTCCATCCAATATTCTTGTCATATTCGATGGAACGTCACAGCAGAAGTCGATATACCAGCGATCCTCCAATTACGCGGTGTCTCCAGAAGAGCTTGGCTCCGCCTGACTTCTGGATTACCTTCCACGATCCACTTCGAAAGTAGAGCCCTGGACGATTCAGCGGAAGTGATCGCTTATGCGTTCTCCGCTTCGATGCTGTACACTTTGACCACGTTGCCCTCGAAAGCTTTTTGTCTCCTCAGATCCGACCTGATGAAACCTAGAACACAACAGCTCTTAGCGTTCAATAGTCGACTTACATAGCCATCCTCGTAGTCTCTAGACCGTTACATCGCAATCACAGGCGCTGTTCGAACTAGGTAGAAGCCTGACCTGTCATGACAACTCCGACGATCAGACATAAACTCAAGGCAACGTTGGCAGTTATATCCCCGAGAGATGATTCGATTCTCGTTGCTCCGAGAGTGAAGAGAATCCCGAAAATCTGAGCGGAAGCATTCAAGAGTCCAGACGAGGTGGACTCCGGTTCGGGATAGGTGAGTTCAGACGATAGTTCGAAACCGATCGGAATGTATCCCGTCATGAAGAAACCTGAAAATGAGAAGGTATTTTGAATCATAAACGAGATACCGCATCCACGCCTGGGCGCTCTTTCCACTATCAAGACATTTATAACGGCGGAGCTCCAGTAAGCATCCCATGGGTCTACGTTTCCGCGAATTCTCGCGTATCTGACTCACCCAGCGACGCAATCGTCACGAAGATGATCGGGAGCGATCTCGCACTCAAGACGAACGTGTAGGCAAACATCAGCAGAGCGGTGAGCAGGTAAAGGGCTAGAGTGACCTCTTTGAATTTTTTGGTTCTGTCCAAGATCACGCCGCAGATGACGGAACCGAACATTCCGGCAACAACCATTGAGAGTCCCATGAAACCTATCGCTTTATCTTGACCCTGGAGGAAACGCGAGCGATGTCAGTATCAGGAGTTCAAGAAACTCATTCCAAAGATGTTCTCCTCATTGAAATTGGCGGGCGGGTTCACTCGTAGGTCTGTGAGACGTCGAATCTTACCTTTAGGTACTTGGTAACAACCTGATTCAACAAGGTCGAGATCGCATAGAAGACCCCGACGTTGACACCGTAAGAGATTAAAAGCAGGACATAAGGCATGTTGGAGAACAGGTGCCTCATCGTCCGCAGATAATCCGAGTCGATCTCGCTCGTGATTTGAGCTCTATTTGGCGGTATATCGGGCTTCTCCTTGAAAGCTGAAGGGGACGGAATCGATCATTGGTAGTGACGGGCTCGCTCCCTCATCGGGTCGAGCGGGCAGAAAACGGTTATGGGGTATAAATGCACAGCTAAAGTAATAGAATTCACGATAGGGGATACCGCCGTGCAATGCACTCACCGAAGATTATAGCGAAGAAAATGAGCGTGGTTGCAACGGCCACACCGATGAACAGAGTTCGGAGGCCGGCAGCCACTTCGTGTGGCTGATCTGACGAAGGCACAATAATGGTCGGAAGAACAAAACCGAGCGCTATGCCCACCTGGTTGCCGAAAACACCGATGGCGCAAGCTCTCGAAACTTCTTCGGAACTGAACCATACAGCAGCCAATCGCGGAGGTATCGACAGGATGAAAATTTGCGAGCAAGCAACAATCGCTTGTCCCGTCATAGTGATCCAAAATTGGTGTGGCTCACAGCTGAAAACCTGGAATTTAAGGATAATGAATAACTCGTCGATACGATCGATCTCTCGCTCTGGATACGAGCGAAACCCTTGACTCAGTCGTCATGATGCACCCGATAACGGAAAAAAGGTTCGAAACATGTAATCCTAGTCCCCGAACGAATTTTCGGCGATCTTCGGCCCTATTAAGGGATGGCGTCGGAAGATTCAGAAAATTCCCAAAACACGAGCGCTCGTTGGCAATTATGCCTCTCATACCGGAGCCACCCGCTCTGCCTCTGTGTTTACCTTTATCCACGAGCCTAGCGCTGTGCCGAATGCGCCGAGAATGATGACGAAGCGGAGACCTTTCTTCTCCATAAGCCATGTTGCCGGAAAAATCAGCGGAATATAGGAGACCGAGTATAGGAGTGCCGTCCAGTTCACGGTCTCGTCGTTTTCTATGTTGTAATGATCTTTGACAATGTCGTGAATGATCGAGTATTCTACCCAACCGAAAGCGTTTGCCAATGAGTACATACAAAACAAGAATAGGATTGCGTAACGATATGGGTAAACTCTGGTGATGCCCTCGACAGGTCCATTCGGCTGCGGGCCACCTTCGACAAGGGTCGATTTGGCACCTGCAATGCAAATATTCGAGTTGTTCTCAAATGATCGATGGAGATTCCGATCTCTCCGTCAAATACTAAATCCTCATTAGGGATTTATACTGGATTCCCCAAGCAATCGACTAGAATCCTCCGAGGAAACGTCATGATCTCTAGAATGGATTACCGAGCAGCGAGAAATCTCAAGGTCCATGCTGCGCTCAGACGCTCGTATATCGGAATCGTATGTCGGTAGCGGGTCGTTTACATAAATCGAACGTCGCGTCGTAAGGAGGACTCGCAAGAAGAGTCAACGCTGGAATTCGAACGCAGCCGACCGGCGTCTTCGACCATCGGAGCGCTAATGGAACCTGATCCTTAGAGAGCACGTCTTGACCGTGGTTTGAGTTTCCACGGGACGAAATTAGATATGTAGATATCTCGATTTATGGAATCTCTGCTCGAACGCTTACCTGTCGCAGCTCCCTCCATCAGAAGCACCTATTGGATATCGGCTCCGAGTAACCGACGACGAAAATTTCCGCGCTGACAACTGCAGCGATTCGCGCCGCAGATTATCCAGATGCGACGAACAGACGCGAGAGCGCTTTCTAGGGAGAATGGGAAGCTCATGGATGAAATGAATCAAGACAGTCCGCTAAAGAAAGAGTATCATCCAAGCGGTGTCAACTTTCACGACTTCCAGCCACTGTCGCGGTAGTTTAGTACTTCAATGGAACCCTTTAGGAATGCTACACTCTCTGTATCCGTGCCGCGAGGGATGAAGAACGTTTCTCGACACGTGACTTATTCAGCTGAGGAACCTATCAGTTTTCGACGGCAGTCGTCCCGGGCACAATAACGCGCTTCAAAACTCACGGGATGTCCGTGGAGGCAAGGAGTCTGTCCGCGCGCGCGAATCACTGGACAACCTGACTCGAAGTATGTCAGATTCTGTGAGCACGCTCGATTCATGGAAACCGATTCCTCATTCCACGGTCACAGGACTGTCAAAGCAGAAGAGCGGCACACGACGAGGGTCTGAAGATTGAGTCCAGCATACGGATGAAGAGAACCGCTACTGACGGTGTACGTATCTATTGTGCGATGCAGGAATTTCGTTCTCACTGACGTGTGTTGTTCCAATCCGCATCGCGCCCGTATGTGAATTGAGCGAACCACCGGCACCCTCTGGGGGCCCGGAAATTCCACCGCGCCGAGCGGTCGCGGCAAATGCGTGCGTACTTACGAAAAAGAAGAGCGCCGCGTCTGTCAGAGAAGCTGTACATGAACACCTAGTGCAGGCGGAGCCGATCGGTCAGCTGTTACTGCTGCGGCGTGCTTGGCTGCCTGCTCTCGCGGCGGGTCCTCGGAGTGGCTCGCTCGCTTGTTTGCTCGCCTGTCTGATTGTGCCTCTGGGCCGCGAGGCGCATCAGAGCGCCCTCTGACGGCTCATCTACATTTTGAATTCCCGGTCGACGGTCAAGCTCAACACATTGTAAACGAGTGTAACTCGGTGTGAGTGGGATTCTCTGCTAGGTAACATTCCGTAAAGCGGATCCCATATCGGAATGCTCTGAGTTGAGCTCATCTGGATGTCAAACGGATTGAGTGGTCGAGCGAGCGCGCCGCAAGCCGATAGCCGATCGCATGATCCGTGAAATTCATTCCGAACCGGCAGTCGCCAGCTGCCGGCATCCATCCTTGGATAGGAGTGCTCCACTCTAGTGTTCCGATCCTCAGCCGGAACAATGCCTAGAAATCGGCATTGCTGGGAGTTTTGAACGAGCCTCGACTACGGTCCCGAGTCATAGCCGGAGTCGCTCTCATACATGGTTTGTTTCCCTACCGACTGCGAATGCTCATTCACGCAGATCAAGCGGATCAGTGAGGATCAGTTGCGTTTTCTCTCGCGGTGAAGACGGCGCCTTTGCCCCAACCATCACGTCCGATGGGCAAATCTTCGTAAGCTGGTATCTAGACCCAGTCGCAACGTTCGGTCCTTTCCCATTGCCGGTCTGTCAGTTACTGGGTCAAGCAGAGGCGCGTTCCGGTCTTCAGCGGAGCCGTGAGCCGCTCTGCCAGTCGGAGTCGAAGTCGAAGTTTCGATGTGGCTGGCACGACTTGGATTCCTCAAGGCTCCCTGAGGAAGAAGTTGCATTCGGTGAGCGTATGTCAGGGAGGATGGCTAATGATTCAGAAACAAACCGTGAGTACCGACCTGTTTTCCCAGTCGTTTTTTGTCCCGGGTGTGTCGAGGGCTGCCTCCGATGCTTTTGGAAAAGTAGAGCAATGCGTTCGCTATCCCCAGTCGACCGTTGTACACATCTGGCTCGATTCGATACTACTTGCCTCGGATATGCAAGGACGCGTTCACTAGAATCAGGAGAATGCACTCCGCGGAGGAAATGCGCATGCGGAAGTAGCGAAAGTTCCGGGAGCCCTTGACCCGATGAGCACTTTTTCCGATTTGTCTTCCCCTGCCACCATAATGGCCACTAGGATAGATTCCACCTCCGAGAAACCCTCCGAGCGAACTATTCATGTCTGTGTGCTGCGAACGCTGCTCAAGCTGTCGAAGCTGATACGATACCGTGTCTATGATAAGTAAACGATAATTCTGGTGCCGACCTGGTCGGTCTGAAGTCAAGATAGGGAGCTTTCAATGCAGGTGGAACCCCCTCGGCGTATTCTTCGTTCTTTCCATATGGATCTGGCCGACGATGGCTGATCGAGAAAAACTTAAGATCGGCGTGGGAGAATGCCGCTCAATGGGGGAATGGCGTCGGGAACCTCGGAGACGGGCTAACACTTTAAGAGAAGAGAAAAGTCTTGCCATTCTGAAGGAGAAGACAGGCGATTAGGAAATTAATCTCCGCGCATCGAGCCCTCTAAGACGACGGGAGCCGTTTAAGGGTATCAAGTATTTCGTCCGGCCGCTTTCTCAAGTCAATGAACGGAGCGTGAACTGAAGACTTCACTGAAGACTCGCGCTTGAAATAACGGGTCATTCAGCGGAAACCTGTGGTCCCATCTGGAGAATCAGAGCTGATCGCTCGAGCGCCGGGCGTGAAAAAAAAAGAAAAATTAAGAGATTGGGCCTCGGTCTCCCGAAATTCTCCATATTCTCCCTCGAAGACCTGTGTGGCTAGATCATCGCATCGGGTGTAAGAGAATTCATTGCTCTATTAAATCATTGCAGTTACCGATCCCGCGGATTCTGCTGAGCAGGCTAAGCAATGTCAAGCTTTAGCGAGCGACAGCGAGGATGGAGTTCAAGATCCCGAGAAGGAAGAGGCTGCTAGCGAAAAAACGTTCTCTCCATCCGGAACGCCCTCCCCTTTGCTTGATTTCGATAAAGAAAACGACGATGACTACATTTTTCCGGTTTGTATGCTATAATTTTTGCGAGGACTTGGCCGCTGTGGGTGCCCCATATTTTCTCGATAAGTCACGGACTCGGGCACATCCTCCGACGAGGATTCCAAGCAAGAGAGAGTCATCCCATGCACGGCTGTCCTTCCAGGAACCCATGGATCCCGTAGTCGACGACGACGAGCTGGTAGATCTCTTGATCGAACAAGCCACCCTGCTTAGTAGGACCATCTTCCGTTATTTGATGGTTATGCCTTGACCAAAGAACTTGTCTGAGCTCTCCTAAGTGTCGGATCGGAGTCTCGCTTCCTCTTAGTGAGACAGAAGTTTCGGAGCACACTGTTGATTGTCTGTTCGCGATATATTTTGAGCACGCCATGACCATGATTGTGATATGAGCATATTTACACCTATATCTAGGAATGTACTCCAATAAATCAGAATGGATATAGTTTCTCGAATGCTTTCTGAGTTAGAAGCTCGTTGTGATTGCGCTGTGATTGAGGGCTTTCCCCGGACGAGCATTAGATGGGTGCTACTTCGGTATGCCCGAGGTATGGATGCGGACAAATGTAATTCTCACTATCGTCCGGCTTTCTTTTCCAAGCCGGAAGAACTCGCCATGAACAACTGTCTGTCATTATTTGAGCCGAGAAATCGGCTGGTAGCCAATATGATGTACTGTGGACCGAGACTAGCGACGACGCGGGGAAAAATGAAAAAAGAATATGTACATTGTATACTATATCCTCGAGATTCACAGACATCGCTCGAATTCGAGGCGAGGATTGCGAACATCAGGATGATTTTTCCGGATTCCTTCGTCAGCGTCAACGAAATGGAGAATACCCATCTGTACCACGCCGATGATTTTCTCCGCCACGAACGTTCATGGCAGCGATAATACACTATGATGCCGGAGACGGCTTAGTCTTGAGGGGCCGCTCAGAACATTCCGATCTAAATGAGAACAGAGATTGCTCCTCCTCCGAAGGTACTAAGCCCAGCAAGTCGAGGCTGTGAAATCAGTCGGAAGTTCAGACCTGGGCACAGGAAGAACGGGAGAATCGGTCATCGGAACCGACATTCTTCAGACGCTCATAATCGCATAGGTTGCCACTAGCAGCGAATAATTGTCTCGGCTCCGCCTGGAGTCGTGTCGAGAAATGAATCAACCCTATCTTCAAATGAACCGGGGTGGAGCGGCACCGATGTGCGCGGGCAATCCGATTCTGCCCCGCAACTCTCAAAGTTCCCTCCCGGTTCCGATTTCGTCTCTCTGGTGGGTGCGAAGGACAGTCTTAGCTGGGATCAAAGTCGACAGCCATGCGGAGGTCATCTTCTCCCGGGATCTCCTTTTCTTCCGTCCTCGGAGCCATCGAAGCGGTCCAGGTTCGATCGGACGTGAGAGCGAGAAGCAAAAAACCCAATCCAGATGTTTTTAGGTGACCGCGGAGAAAGGAATACATATATCATCGGATATGGAGAGGAAATGACGCGGAGTGCAAGTATTTGAGGCAATGATGTCTGAGAACCCCTGGGTCTTGGACCTGTCTGTAGCTAGGAGGACCATCTCGCAAGGGGATGGCTAGGAGTGGCGCCCTGAATGTTCACGGAAGTCGCGTTCCGCGGAACTCCGGTCTACGGCGTGCCCTCCAAAGTAACGCCGGCATGAGACTGATAAGCGAGGAGCGTGCTCAATTATCGTAGCTCGAGGCCTCGCGGAAACCTATCCCCCTCGCCGGAATCATTCTCGGGAATCTCATCAGCTGCTCCAGCGAGACCTCACAGTCGAAATCCGAGCAAAGAGCCAAACTCCCAGAGCGTAATGGAAATAAAAGTGCAAAATCATAAGTTTCGTCTTCCGCCCAGCAACGTCGTGATTGCCTGACGAGCGAGAAAGTACACACACGAGAACAGACTTCTTGATTATAAGGCTGAACGAGAGTGCGGCGGGCCACTTCATTTGTAATCAGCCTCAGCAATGGCGCTGACAGCGAAGACACATACAGACGTACTTCACCAGTCGGAACAGCAAACAGAAGTCACCGAAGGATACGGCCGGCCGTCATCGATTTGAGCCCATGCGAGCCAGGTGTTTATTCCCCCTCAGCCGACTAGCGCTCGCGAGAACTTGTAAATTCCCCTGAAGGTGCGAACTTCGAATCAGACGATTCTGGCGGATATCGGGTCTGATAGGGATCTCATGGAAGGTATACGGCGGTTCTCGATTGGGCACTTCGGCGGCTCAATTCCGAAAATCCGACCCTCCTCGAGGACGTACAGGCACCGATGAGCAGGGGAGCAGCCGGCAGCGGACGCAGAGCGCCCGTCATATTGATGAAGGTAGCTATGCAAATTTCAGCGGTGCCCGGGGGATCTTCTGTGAGCGTCGGTCTGAAAAAGATGATCCAGGTGTTCAGTGTTCATCCTGCGCCGCTCGGCCAGCCGCCGGACAACGTGCAGGATCGACGAGATTGATATCTGACGGCCGAGACCCCGTACTTTCGTCATGTTTCTTCACACACAGGAAGACAAGCTGTAACGATTTGACTCGATCTCTCCGAGCTCCCTCCCGGATCTTGGAAAGCTCTCACGGTTCAGCTGAGCGAGTAGAGAATCATCGTACTCCTATCGGATAATAATTGATCATTTTGGGTCGGAGCGATCCACCCACTTCGGCCAAGCTTGATCTCTTCGCTGGCATCAGCGGAACGGACAGAATGCAGTCGTCGTGAGACTCCGTGTGTTCCTGATCATGACTGCATGCATTGCCCGTACTGATGTTCTAGTGATTGACGCAGAGAACCCCCGACTTGTTTAGTCATCAGCTCCCTCGGCCGGCCAGTGCAACGTCGGCTTTGGACGGTCGTCGTTGCGTTTGCTTCGTGGATCCGTCTCTCGATGCAGCAGCACATCTCATCTGTCAGATGCCCCTGGCCAAGGCATGGAGACAGACACCGCACGCCACGTCGAGCCCGAAAGCCGACTAATGGAATCCCGAAATAGGCTCCGTAGACTTCGAGTCGACAGTAGCATTTTGTCGTCCGAAAGCGTGGCATCGTCTCACAAATATCGCCGACGGCCTAACCAGATTTGCCCGTTGATGGTAGCTCGGCGAAAGCATTGAGCTATTTTCTTTCCCTTCCCTCGGACCACCGCAAGCCGAAATACTGAATGACGCGGCGACTCCCAGACCGAGACTCGAGACCCTTTGGATAGATCGGGGAGGTAGTAAATATTTCACGTTCCTCATCGATGTCCGTCGACGAATTTCACGCTCTGAGGATCCCGACGAGCTCCGGGCGTGCAGTCCGCTCATGGCGCTTCCGGAAACGGCCCCGGACAGATTTCGAAGTGGTTTGCCTCAACGAAACCCCCGGAGGAGCCATCGAGGTCGAGCGTCACCTTGGAGATTTCGCATAGTTCCTCCCTCTACCCGCCAGAATGCATTCGATGACTCTGACGCGAGCGAGGAACCACCGCGGAGCGGAAGATGTTGAATTCGGCGGAAATTGGAGTTCGAGCTCTTATCAAACTCAGGCCAGTTCGCCCAGTCCCTCACGTGGTGGATAGGATGTAAGATGCGCGTATCAGCGAACGCACACCGCTTGCAAATATATGTACATAGAGCAGAAAAAACGCCTCGAGACCCCACCGTAGACGGCAGGGCTCAGAGGCGGATGGGTAGGCTTGCTGGATGGCTGCTTGGCTGGGCGTCTGGGTGGGCGATTGGGTGGGCAATGCTTGTAAGAGAGCCGAGTGGGACAACGGTAGGTGGCGAAGGCTCTGTCCTCATCCTGACGTTGGCCGCCACCTTTGCCGTCAAGAGAGGCAGATAGCGACGAACACACTGGAGCCTGCGGATATTTACTACTCTCCCGAGGCCACTTATGAAGAGGCCGCCGACGCCATCAGGTGGAAGTTGCACGCGAGCCACCCGTGAAGGCTCCCTCGCTTGCTATGCGTGGCAAGCGACCACCCGGGCGGCGAAGCAACGAGAAGATATGGACAACTCTGCTTCAACTGTGTCGGCGGCAGCGAAAGCCGCGGTCTTCGCGAAACATCTTCCCAAGACGCTGAGCTTGAAGCGGCCTCGAAGAATTGCTCCTTTGTTCCACTATCGTTGTCCGACTCCTCGCACGATGGGTCCCAATTGCGTCTCGACTCTGCTTACTCGTGTTCTGCAGTCAACATGGTCTTCTAGGTCTTGGGTCTACGCTTTGCGGAGTCCGGAGAAGATCTGGGTCTCGAGCAGGGTCCTCGATTTCCTCCGGAACCTTGGTTATTAGGCCTGCGGGCCGCAGCCTGATCTCTGGGTTGTCTGGAGTGTTCAACTGGAAATATCTATTGATGGGCTTCTGCGTGAAATTGACCCCCGCCCGAACACTCTTCCTCCGCGAACTAGATTTCATTTTTCTACGTCGCGGTCGGTACGACGACTTCCGTTCTCCCTGTTCTACCGCTATTCGGTGCGCGACGAATCCTTCTGATTCTACTCGGCGGAATCGCTGATGCGCGAGACTCTACTCCACTCCAAGGTGAGCAGAGATGCGGATATCGCAGGCGGAAAGCTTTCTGAAAGCTCTTTGTTGCATAGCCTATTGGTCCAAAAGAGAGAATTCCCCTCCCCTCCCGTACCGGAGTAGAAGGTGATGCAGCAGCTAATGCGTAACCCATAGGTGGCGATTCGGAAGAGGAGCGCTATTCCGTCGAGACCTGAGATGTGCATTGAAACGAACGGCAACCGAAGATGGAGAGATAGGCGCAAGCCTGTGAGCCAGTCTCGGGCGCGGCGGCGGTCGCAACGACTCTTTCTCGGTTTCGCCGCTGTTATTTGATCTAACGGGCAAAGCGTATGTGGCACCTCCTGAGGGATTTCTCCCGACGAATCTCACGTACGGTCTTCTGTCTATTATTCTCGTTCCCGCTGCTAGCGTCGACTTCATTGGTGACAGCGGCGGCAAGAGTTGCGACTCACAATCAGCCGACAACAGCAGCAGCAGCAGCAGAATGAATCGACGAGAGACCGGAGCAGGGACGCCGAGAGGAAAAACGATTCGATACCATCGACGAGTGTAGAGCGGAATGTTTATTCAATGCTGCCGGTATTGACACAAGGAATGCTTTTGACGAAAATGCTGCGACCCGAACCCCAACCCCGCCCGGGTGGATATGTGAATGTATAGTCGACCGCGAGAAAAGGTTCAGAAAAAACAAAGCTCTCCGTTTGTCTGGGATCGGAGACTCTGATCATTG